ACCACAGTGTTCTTCCGGGGGGACGACGTCACAACAGCTGCAGCAAACTTCACAGTATGGAGACTGGCTGCCTCGGGTAGACTGACTCCACCTTCAACACAGTGGTCCCAGGTCGGCTCTGTAAGCAGACACGTCATCAATAACTGGGACACTAATACACCACACTCACAGGCTCAGATACTAACACCTGACGTATCCAGTCCATAGATGGCGCTGTCGTCGGAGCACCACCTCACCAGAGGTCAGGAGCGGCGGTGTTGAGCGCTGAACCAGACTGGAAACTGGTCCTCGAGGCCAGTACACGCTGTCCTCACTAGGTGTCGTCGTTCGTTTGGCGGGGGTTTCGGGAGCTGACCCACAGATGGCGTGTTTGTCACTGCTCCAGGCTCGGACGCTGGATCCGGGTTCGTAACAGTGACCAGCACACATCACCAGGGGTGACATAGTGACCAGCACACATCACCAGGGGTGACACAGTGACCAGCACACATCACCAGGGTGACACAGTGACCAGCACACATCACCAGGGGTGACATAGTGACCAGCACACATCACCAGGGTGACATAGTGACCAGCTCACATCACCAGGGGTGACACAGTGACCAGCACACATCACCAGGGTGACATAGTGACCAGCACACATCACCAGGGGTGACACAGTGACCAGCACACATCACCAGGGTGACATAGTGACCAGCTCACATCACCAGGGTGACACAGTGACCAGCACACATCACCAGGGGTGACACAGTGACCAGCACACATCACCAGGGGTGACACAGTGACCAGCACACATCACCAGGGGTGACACAGTGACCAGCACACATCACCAGGGGTGACACAGTGACCAGCACACATCACCAGGGTGACACAGTGACCAGCACACATCACCAGGGTGACACAGTGACCAGCACACATCACCAGGGGTGACACAGTGACCAGCACACATCACCAGGGTGACATAGTGACCAGCACACATCACCAGGGTGACACAGTGACCAGCACACATCACCAGGGGTGACATAGTGACCAGCACACATCACCAGGGGTGACACAGTGACCAGCACACATCACCAGGGGTGACATAGTGACCAGCACACATCACCAGGGTGACATAGTGACCAGCACACATCACCAGGGTGACACAGTGACCAGCACACATCACCAGGGGTGACACAGTGACCAGCACACATCACCAGGGGTGACATAGTGACCAGCACACATCACCAGGGTGACATAGTGACCCACAGTGACCAGCTCACATCACCAGGGTGACAGTGACCAGCTCACATCACCAGGGTGACAGTGACCAGCTCACATCACCAGGGGTGACAGTGACCAGCACACATCACCAGGGGTGACAGTGACCAGCACACATCACCAGGGTGACAGTGACCAGCTCACATCACCAGGGTGACAGTGACCAGCTCACATCACCAGGGTGACAGTGACCAGCTCACATCACCAGGGTGACACAGTGACCAGCACACATCACCAGGGGTGACACAGTGACCAGCTCACATCACCAGGGTGACATAGTGACCAGCACACATCACCAGGGGTGACATAGTGACCAGCACACATCACCAGGGTGACATAGTGACCAGCACACATCACCAGGGGTGACATAGTGACCAGCACACATCACCAGGGGTGACACAGTGACCAGCACACATCACCAGGGGTGACATAGTGACCAGCACACATCACCAGGGGTGACAGTGACCAGCACACATCACCAGGGTGACATAGTGACCAGCACACATCACCAGGGGTGACACAGTGACCAGCACACATCACCAGGGGTGACACAGTGACCAGCACACATCACCAGGGGTGACATAGTGACCAGCACACATCACCAGGGGTGACACAGTGACCAGCACACATCACCAGGGTGACACAGTGACCAGCACACATCACCAGGGGTGACACAGTGACCAGCACACATCACCAGGGGACATGTGACAGCACACATCACCAGGGGTGACCCAGCACACATCACCAGGGGTGAAATAGTGACCAGCACACATCACCAGGGTGACATAGTGACCAGCACACATCACCAGGGGTGACATAGTGACCAGCACACATCACCAGGGGTGACATAGTGACCAGTTCACAATCATATACCAGCTCAGTGGTATCGTGGGCTGGTATTGGGAGAAAAACTGTTGTTTCTAATGTGGTGATTGTGAGTTGTGGCAATTAGGTGGTGGTTATGGTGTGGGGGGGTTGTAGCTGTGGTGGTAGTTGTGACAGAGGCACAACAACCCTCTCCGTTGTGGCAGGTGGCTAATTATGCTCTTGTAGGTTGTAATAACAAAATAATTTGCTACGACCGGAAAGATATATCACAGAAAATGGAAAACTTCCCATATATCCTTAACGGTAGCGAGAAGAGTGTGGGAAGACCACAGCCGAGTTAGGTCAAAGGAACCAGATTCCCCCCAAGGATTGTGTCCAGATTCACGCGACTTGGAAGGGCTTGTGGGAAAGCAAGATTTACGCTCATCCGGAAAAAAATCGGGGCATTCAATGCTCAGGAAGTGCTCGACTGTTGAAGACACCATGTAGTTCCGTCAGTTAGGCCAAAGTCTTTTGTTCCATTTTGTGCCAACAGATAATCATGCCATCTATTAGATTAACCAAGACACAACCTCACCAGAGACGTGTTCGAACTCCCGTGGCAGGAGGAAAGGCCAAGAGAATAGGTCCTCTTATCAAGAGAATAGGTCCTCTTATCATCAAGAGGATAGGTTCTCTTATCCTCTTGGTCTTTGACGGTACATGGTTAGGTATTCGTAACAACCAGCCGTCTATCTCCCCAGCGGATGGCTGGGTATAGACATTAGAGTAAAGAGGACTTCGCCTTTGGCAAGAACAGTCCCATCTCTGGCAGCGCGCGCGTCGATGCTGGGTCCTGCATTCTCTTAACGTTTACGTATGAAGCTAATACTACGATCTGAGGCCACAGGGCCGAGGACTCCACTTGAACACTTCACCTCTTGTGCAAGAAGGAGCCTCTAGCCTGTTGTAGCCTCTGAGCTCTCCACAAGTAGTCTTCTGCCACCTTCTCGTAGCCTCTAGGAGTCTGTAGCCTCAGTGTTCTTAGTATATTCCTGCCACCTTATCGTAGCCCCTTCCCCATAGTCTTCTGTAGCCCCCAGGGCCACCTTCTCGTAGCCTCTAGGAGTCTGTAGCCTCAGTGTTCTTAGTATATTCCTGCCACCTTATCGTAGCCCCTTCCCCATAGTCTTCTGTAGCCCCCAGGGCCACCTTCTCGTAGCCTCTAGGAGTCTGTAGCCTCGGGGTTCTCCTTAGTATATTCCTGCCACCTTATCGTAGCCCCCTCCCCATAGCCTTCTGTAGCCCCCAGGGCCACCTTCTCGTAGCCTCTAGGAGTCTGTAGCCTCAGTGTTCTCCTTAGTATATTCCTGCCACCTTATCGTAGCCCCCTCCCCATAGCCTTCTGTAGCCCCCAGGGCCACCTTCTCGTAGCCCTGGCCCGAGGCAGGCCCCCTTGGCTCATAATGGTACATTATGAGCTCCACCCTCGGCGCTGGAATTCGGGAATATTGGCTCTCTTAATAGCGGCCAAGTGCTGTTAAATGGGCGGGCGGGATGCTGGAATACGGGAGATAAGGAAGACTCTTTACAACAACACATTAAAACTAAGCATTTTTAAATAATATTCACCGCCCTCTGAATGTTGTGATAACTTCAGGATGTTGTGATAACTTCAGGATGTTGTGATAACTTCAGGATGTTGTGATAACTTCAGGATGTTGTGATAACTTCAGGATGTTGTGATAACTTCAGGATGTTGTGATAACTTCAGGATGTTGTGATAACTTCAGGATGTTGTGATAACTTCAGGATGTTGTGATAACTTCAGGATGTTGTGATAACTTCAGGATGTTGTGATAACTTCAGGATGTTGTGATAACTTCAGGATGTTGTGATAACTTCAGGATGTTGTGATAACTTCAGGATGTTGTGATAACTTCAGGATGTTGTGATAACTTCAGGATGTTGTGATAACTTCAGGATGTTGTGATAACTTCAGGATGTTGTGATAACTTCAGGATGTTGTGATAACTTCAGGATGTTGTGATAACTTCAGGCAAACTTTCCCAAAACATCAAGATCATTTTTTTTAATAAAGTCTCCAGTTAAAATGTTTATATAATACCAGTCTTTGTACAGTTTGTGTGGCAGATATAAAACCGTGTCTCCACAAAAAGGTATGATGATGCATCAAACTGTTATGAATGCTGGCCAGCTGTAGGTTCGCATTTAATTACATGGATGTAAATCATTGACAACGTTCATCAGACCAATGTTGGAATGTGCAGCAGAGGTGTGTGAGTGTGGGAGCCACATCAGAAGGAACATTTCTCAACATGTCACCTTGGAAGATAACTACGGAAGGCTTCATTACTTCGAAAGGAAGGAAGAAGCAAAATACAATAAAATTAACAAAATGTCATAGATGGTCAACATGTGTGTAGTGGAGGGTGTGTAGGGTGTGTAGGGAGGGTGTGTAGGGAGGGTGTGTAGGGTGTGTAGGGAGGGTGTGTAGTGCGCGCGTTCTCAACTGGCAGAGAAACTTGGGTGGACACCTACAGCTCTATCAGCTCTGTTTCTGCTTCTCGCAAATCTCCACTATATGAACGATTACCATAACCTATAGCCAGTACCATAACCAAATTGATCACAATTGACAGTAAGTATAGTCAATCCTGGCACCCCGACACACCCTAACCCCGACACACCCTAACCCCGACACACATCGGTGGTGAATGTGACTTCTTTGATATCGATCATCTCATGTCCTTCTGCTCTTGTCTTGACATCTTTATCGATATCTCGGAACCTCTCAATGTCCTTTGACACAGATATCTCTTCATACCCATCCTGGCGTAGTGCCATCTGTTGTATAATCACCTGACAGTCTCCCAGCCCTTATCGCTATCACATCCTTGCTCCTTCTTCAGGAAATAGCCGTACTGAAAGACCTGATCCTGGCCCGGGTGGCGTCGGAGCTGCAGGATTCCTTGCAGGAGGTCCCCACCCTGAAAAAGATCCTATCAGAGGAAGAGCAGCAGCAGCAGCAGCAGGGAGAGGAGGTCAAGAGGAAGAGGATGTTCGTCCCTCTATCCGGCCTGCCAGGGGAGTTGCCTACCATCAAGAGGCAGATCCGCTACCACCAGTGCTACTTCAACCCCATCTCCTGCTTCAGGTAGGTCGCCCTGCGTCATATTGCGGTGTGTAACGGTAGCGGTAGTTAATACAACTGTAGAGGTAGTCCTCGTAGGAAAAGTAATACAATAGAAGAACAAAATAGCACGAGTATAACAATAGCCTCAAACTACCTCTCCCCAAACAACCCCTTTTTCCCTCGTCCTCTTTTAAACGTCCACTCCTCTCCCTGCTCACCCTCCATCCCATATAAAGATTACGAAGGACTAATAATCACCTGAGCATCTATTATTCCAGGCGGAAGTGAGCAGCCGGTCTCAGCTTTGGCGCCAAAACCAGCTCGTCTCAGCGTTCGCGCCAAAACCAGCTTGTCTCAGCGTTCGCGCCAAAACCAGCTTGTCTCAGCGTTCGCGCCAAAACCAGCTCGTCTCAGCGTTCGCGCCAAAACCTGCCTGGCGACATCGCTTAGAGATCAAAAACGCAGCAAAACAGATGTTTGTGCTTGAGAAACTTCAATAACAATTCAAACAAATAGCGTATACAAGTAATGGCAAGAGGTGGATGTTTAATCATTTCTTCTCGCAGTAAGAATAGGTGTTGAGGTGTGTGTGTGTGTGTGTGTGTGTGTGTGTGTGTGTGTGTGTGTGTGTGTGTGTGTGTGTGTGTGTGTGTGTTTAGGGTTGACCATCAGTACTTTAATGATTCATTTCACACCTTTTTCTGCTCATATTGACATTTCAAATTGCGTAAAGTATACGAACATAAGACAGCTTAATGCATTCTAATCCATTCCATTTATTTACGATCCTTACGCTGAAGAAATTCTTTTCCGACATCTCTACGACTGATATTTGTCCCCAGTTTCCGTTCATGTCCCCCCTTCGTGTGTGTGTGTGTGTGTGTGTGTGTGTGTGTGTGTGTGTGGTGTGTGTGTGTGTGTGTGTGTGTGTGTGTGTGTGTGTGTGTGTGTGTGTGTGTGTGTGTGTGTGTGTGTGTGTGTGTGTGTGTGTGTGTGTGTGTGTGTGTGTGTGTGTGTGTGTGTGTGTGTGTGTGTGTGTGTGTGTGTGTGTGTGTGAGTGTGTGTGTGAGTGTGTGTGTGTGTGTAAGCTACTGCTATTGTGCTTCAAAGCAGAGTCAGTGTTACCAATCCGCCTGCCTAAAACCCCGTATCTACCCTACCGTTCCCTCGCAACGTCGCCAACGCCCAAGAGGAGCAGCCATCGCCAAACTTGTCCAAATATCCAGTCGTAAATTTGTGTGTTTTATGAACCTCGTGTAATAGCAAATAAAATAAAACTTGTTTGATGAGGGTCATTTTCCTTATCCTTCATAGATGAAGTTTTGCGAATTGTTTACATAAAAACTTTCTTTGTATAGAGCAGCAGATGGATATAAAAGGTGCTAGGAAATTGGTAAAATAACTAAGAAATGGTAAATTAAATCTGAAAGCGATATGATAACTATGGAATACCTAGATCACAGCAAATGTATACTTGAAAGGTGTAAAGGAGGGAATACTCTGTCCTCGTCTACACCTGAGAAGCGACAACAGTGGAAACTTAATTGTAAACTAAACTTGCAAGGGACGAAATGTAATTTATAAGTGTATATTCCTGCGCTGCCCCTCCAATGCGATCTTTAAGAGGAAGACACTAGGAAGTGTAACATCTTATTGTTACAAGTAATTAACAAAAAGACGGCACCAGGCCGGGAAGACTGTGCAGCTCCCTCTGTCTCGAAGGATATTCAAAAAGGCGCTAAATATCAATTAGGATGCCAATACGAGAACAGAAAGTGCACAAGCCGAGCGACATCAAAGATATCGAATTAACCGAGGATTTTATCGAGGGCCAAGTGAACCGGAGGGACATTAGTAAAAGAAAGATCTTGAAAATCGAGACAATCTATCAGACTAAGTGGGACAATGCAGTTCCAACAATAAGGAGCATGAATGTGTGGCATTAAAAATACTCACACGTTCAAGTACGTTTATTGAGACAAATACATCTCAAAGGGATAGAGCAGCTTAGGCTATTTCAACCCTCCTCGCATGCGACATATATGCAACCTAGCCAGAGCCGTTTCCCACCATCTGTTAGTGCGACGAGAGTTGGTAGGTACAGCGCGCGCACCGCGCACATGGTGGTGGTGGTGAGTTAGTATCTTTCACGTTCAGATTTGTGGGTTGGGGGTCTATCCTAAACATTTGCAAGCATTCATGTAGCCCTCGAAGTCAGGCCAAGACGGTAGTATTATAGCCTGGTTAGTAGGACAATGATTCCATAATTTTAAGGCCAGATTTCGAATTTCCAATAATCCAAGTGAATAAAACTTATTACCCACGTTATTGTGGATAGCAATTTTAGCATCTTGTGTGCATGTGTGTGAAAATAAATATATGTAGTAGATACGGTAAAAGGTCCAGGAGCTAAGAGTTCGATCCTGCAGGCACAAATAGTAAATAATAATAATGAATACACATACATGAGTATGAGTTACAAGAGTAAACAAACTACTGTAAAGATAACCCATCCACCTGTTTAGATAGTATTATTGTAATCGTCAATAGTCAGAATTCGTACGTTCTTAGGTCTTAGATAGTAGTATACTGACTAATAAGGAATTATTTTAAAATAAACCAAACTAAAACACAAACTTTAATATTCCTAGGCCTAGTATAGCACACATATCTTGAGGATATCTTGAGATGATTTCGGGGCTTTAGTGTCCCCGCGGCCCGGTCCTCGACCAGGCCTCCACCCCCAGGAAGCAGCCCGTGACAGCTGACTAACACCCAGGTACCTATTTTACTGCTAGGTAACAGGGGCATAGGATGAAAGAAACTCTGCCCATTGTTTCTCGCCGGCGCCCGGGATCGAACCCAGGACCACAGGATCACAAGTCCAGTGTGCTGTCCGCTCGGCCGACCGGCTTCCTAGTAATGTACATATGTACTATATTAAGCCTCAGATATAGTCTATTAGGCCTAGGGAGGTTAGAATAGATTAATTTGTCAAAGCAACACAAGTAAAAAAAATTAGTTTTCCGGTTTGTCCAACTCAATAGTTCGGATTTCTACGTTCCAATTTCGTTGTATGTCGGTATACATACCATGGTCCTCATGGTTACTATACATAATACCAAAGGAGGATGGGCTGGTAAAGAATATATATACACACGATAAAATATAAATTACTGAAGAGGACAGGCAGAGTAAACAGGGGTTGACTATATACATTATGCGCCCGTCTCCTTCCCGCCAAGCGACGCTCGGCCAAATGTTTACTTCGCTTTAAAATGGGCGACAGAGGCTACGAGCTTGACTTAACAATGTTGGTGTGTTTTTTTAACATTGTATTTTAATAATCTTCATATACCATTTTTTTTACGAATTCAGCCGATTTTTGTTTATTAGTGTAAATGTAATTACCTTTAACGCAATAATCCATTCTGCTCAAGTTTCCTGTATCCTCGCGACTTTTGAGGTTGGAACACACGGGAGGAACGCACATATGAACTGACTGTTTAATATGTAACTCTACGTTACCGAGTGGCAAGGAAGTGGAAAATGAGCTAGTAAGTGTAGAAGTAACAGCCCAAAGGGCTTGGGAATCAGTACATCCGTTGAATATCGAGAAACAGTAATAAAAACACCGAAATCTCCTCAAAGAACAGCTGTTGGAGAACAACTAGGTGAACACACACTACAGAAGACCACCGCCTCCTTCCAGAAATACTAGGATAAAGATTGCTACATACTGATTCACTGAAAACATATATATATGGGGAAAGCATCTCTGGCTGGATGAATGGGACCATATTCTCGTGGCAAAGCACACACACAAACGTTACATCACAAAACATACAAGTTATGAAGCCTCATGGAAACACACAGATATCACCTTCCCACACCGCGGTCAGCGTGCCATCAGAGAGGCCGTAGCCTCATCACCATCATAGTCCCAGCTGCAGCAACACACACACACACACACACAGGAAGCTGTCACCAAGGTTATTGGTCGAACTAATAATGTCCTACCACGCCTGAAGTAACCAAATGCCACAACTGCTCTCCAACCCCACACACCCCCACACACAAACTGTGACCCCCGACAGACCATTTGTTTTCCAGGATAAAACTGGTGCCAGCTAGACACGCGCGGTATTATCAAATAAAACAATTCTTGCCACTCGAAAAATAGATTTTTTAGATATGAAATTTGAGAATTGTGATAAAAAATGGCATTTGAAAAAACCTGAATTAAAACATTAAACAATATTTTACGCACTTGGTCATAATCTAATATTTTTATATTGTGTGAAAGAACAGATTATCCAGTTGGTCCAGGATATGTTATGAACTTACTAGTAGCCACACTAGCACTAATCTTGGACCAACTAGCAGCCACACAAGCACTAACCTTGGACCAACTAGCAGCCACACAAGCACTAACCTTGGACCAACTAGCAGTCACACTAGCACTAACCTTGGACCAACTAGCAGCCACACTAGCACTAACCTTGGACCAACTAGCAGCCACACAAGCACTAACCTTGGACCAACTAGCAGTCACACTAGCACTAACCTTGGACCAACTAGCAGCCACATTAGCACTAACCTTGGACCAACTAGCAGCCACACAAGCACTAACCTTGGACCAACTAGCAGTCACACTAGCACTAACCTTGGACCAACTAGCAGCCACACTAGCACTAACCTTGGACCAACTAGCAGCCACACTAGCACTAACCTTGGACCAACTAGCAGCCACACTAGCACTAACCTTGGACCAACTAGCAGCCACACCAGCACTAACCTTGGACCAACTAGCAGCCACACTAGCACTAACCTTGGACCAACTAGCAGCCACACTAGCACTAACCTTGGACCAACTAGCAGCCACACTAGCACTAACCTTGGACCAAGTGACTAACGCAACAGCCCTCTTACCACACACTTCTCATCCGATACAGGGGGTGTTCTCTCTTCAAGGCACAGCCTTCAGGCCTGTGGTAAATAGATCATTCCTTTCTAAGCTACAATATCCTAGGTATTTACACCAGAATCGCTAGGAATCAGAGGCTCTACTGCCCAGTGAACCGCTTACCTTGACACGAAGGCAAGAGGTGAATATGCTGCACTGTGTTTTAAAAGTTTTTGTAATGCAACTCCCCCCCCCCCCACCCAAAAAAAAGTAAACTTTTAGGACCGATCTTCAATTCTTAGGTCCAGTATTTACAGTTGTCGGTCGTCTAATGTAATAATTCACTTTTTCCTTACTATATCTGATTTTAAAACTGTGAATCGAGCCATCTTCTTGAGGTTATCTTGAGATGATTTCGGGGCTTAGCGTCCCCGAGGCCTCGACCAGGCCTCCCTTTTGTTACACACCCCCAGGAAGCAGCTGTCTAACTCCCAGGTACCTATTTACTGCTAGGTAACAGGGGAATTAGGGTGGAAGAAATAT